CTCCTCCTCCTCCTCCTCCCCCTCCTCCTCCTCCTCCTCCTCCTCCTCCTCCCCCTCCTCCTCCTCCTCCTCCTTTTCCGTAGCCATTTTGGCTCAAGTCCGTAGCCGTGGCTCAGGACGAGAGTACTTTTTGGCGTGGGGAGTTTGCGGCCCCGACAGCGAACTGCAGGTGCTTTTTCCGCATACTGCATTGGGGTTTCATCCACCACCTCTTTGCCATCACGTTTACAGCGTACCCATGGTTCCTTGGTCTCGTGCCGAGAACGCTCAGCCGTGGAGGTGCAAGACCTGCCAGCGCAAGGACGGCACCCCATGGCGGAACTGGGCCACGTCGAAGGCCTGCGGGAAGTGCGGCATCCACAAGGGCGCTTGCTTCAAGGACACGGTCCCGCCCAACGGCCTTCCATCTAAGCGCCGCTCTGGTGCTTCTGGTGGGGGTGGAGGCGGCGGAGCTGGCGGTGGCTCCGACGCCCATTTGCGGCAGGGCATCGCTGATTTGGAGGCGAAGTTGGCCAGTCGCGGCATGGGGGCCGACCTCGAACCCATGGCCATGGACTTGGACCCTGGCGACACGGTCGGCCCGCCTCTTGCGCGTTCCGCAGAGGCCCGCCGCGACCGCCTCCAGGTGCTTGAGCGGCAGATCGCGCACTGCGATGTACCAGGCCAGAGGTGCGAGGCTGTCTACCAAGAGCTGCGGGGCAAGCTCGTCAAGGAGCGCGACGAGCTTCGCCGCACCCTCGCCGAGTCCAAGCCCATCGATGTGCGGCAGAAGGACCTGGCCACCAAGATGTCCAAGCAGCGTCTGCGGATCGCGGCCTGCGATCAGGAGGTGGAGAGCCTCCAGGCCAAGCTCGCCGCCATCACCGCCGACCTCGACGCGGCGAAGCGCCGGGCGGCCGAGGCGCGGGAGACCATGCAGCGGCTGGAGGTCGAGAACATGGCCTTGGCAGCCCAGGTCCCCTTGGCGCCCGACTCGGTTACCCTGGACGCTGTCATCCCCAGCAGCTCGGCATGCTGCTGCGCGGGCTGGGCGGCGACAGCGCAGCAGTCGAGTCCACCTTCAAGGACGCCTTGTCCAGGCACGTCGCCTCGCTGCGGGAGGCCCAGGCGGCACCCGCGCATGCGGCGGTGCCTGGCACGCCTGTGGGCCCTGCTGGCGCCCCTGTGGCCCCTGGCAATCACGCCCCTGGAGCTGAGGCGGCGCCGGCTGCGGAACCCGGGGCCGAGGGTGGCGCTGGCAGCGGGGGCGCGGCCCCTGGCACCCCGAGCAGCTTCTGCTTCCTGGGCGCTGCTCCCAACGCTGCTGGCGTGCGGGCGTTTGTGGAGTCGATGGGGTTCGCAGTGCCTGAGGAGGAGTCCGAGGCCGCTGTTGAGCCGAGTTGAGGAGGGCCTGAGGCGTGCGGGCGTTTGTGAGTCCAGCGGGCCCGCGTCATCAACGATGCCATACAGAGCCAGGCGAAGCGGCTCAAGACGCAGGCGTCCACCGCTGCAGCGTCGGCGGCGGACATGTGAGCTCTTCCTGTCCTTGGCTTGCCTTGTCGTCATGATGGCGTGCACTACTTTGGACATCGAGGTCGACCCGTTCGACGAGGTCGACGACGCTGCCGACTTTCTTGCGCAGCAACCGTTTTCTGCAGAGGTACCTCCTGCTCACCGCGACCTCGCAGTGATGCCCCCGGCGGCTGGTCATGACGGTCGCGCAGATCAGCTCGCGCCGCTCAGTTGGGTGCTTACTTTCTTGGTGGAGGCCGAGGGCCTCGCCGCTGTGATTTCTTCAACGTCTCATTCGGTGGCTTTGTCGTTGAGGACCGCCGCCGGGGCCGCCGGGGCCGCCGCCGGAGCCTCCGGGACCGCCTCCATGGGCCGCCGCGCGTGCCCCCGGGACAGCCGCCAGGGCCGCCGGGGCCCCGCCTCTCAGAGCAGCCGAGCTGTCGCGGGGGCCGCCGCCGGGGCCTTGCAGGGCCTCCGAGGCCGCCGCCGGAGCCACAGGGGCCGCCTCCGGGGCCGCCGGCAGGGCGTTTGTCGGCTCGCTGGTCTCGGCCAACACCTCCTCGTTCGGCCCGATGTTTGACTTCGTGGTGGAGGTGACTCATGAGGTTCGGGTGCTGGCCGTGCAGGAGCACCGCGTCCCTCAGGCCAGGCTGGGCGAGATGCAGAATCGCCTGGCTGACCTGGGCTGGCACTGGGCCTGGAAGGCTGGCTTAGACACGGACGCGCAGAGCACAAGCAGTGGCGCCGCGGTGCTGGCCCCGTCGTTCGTGTCTCTCACCACGGCCCCTGGCCTAGCCGACGGGACCTTGGTTCCTGGCCGTGCAGCCGCTGCTCGGGTCCACTGGGGCATCCCGCAGGGCTTGGTCTGCATCAGCCTGTATTGTGTTGACTCTGTGGGCTATGCGGGGCCCAACTTGGAGGTGCTGTGGAAGGTTTTTGAGTACTGTTGCCAGCTAAACGCCCAGGGCGAGGATTTCGTCATCATGGGCGATTGGAACATGGCCTCCGACGTAGAGGGGCTTCGTGACGCGCTGCTGTCGGTTCGCGCCATCCCCTTCGTCCCCGAGGACGCTACCTGCGTGCAGGGGGAGGGCTCCATCATCGATTTCATGGCAGTGTCGTCGAACTTGGTGCCCAGGCTCGATCGCCAGGTGACCGTGCAGCTCGACTCTGACTTGTGCCCGCATCGCCCCGTGCACTTGCGGATGCGGGGTTCTGATCACCCAACCTGGTGCAGGGTGGCCGACGAGCCCAAGCCGTTCTCGGCGCTTCCCCCATCCTGGGGGGCCCTTACGGCGGAGGTACATGTTTGTTAACGGGCTTTCTTAGAGAGCTCTAGGTGCAGGCCGTGTGTAGCGCTCAGGGCCTAGGGGCCCCGAGCGCTTGAACCTCCCCCCCCTCGGGCCTGAGAGACTGGAGGGGGTGGGGCAGCATGCATAGCAGGTGCAGAATAGTTGTCCATAACGTATTGGCTCTAGTTTCAACGAGCAGCAGCCCTCTCGCGCCTCCCTTTGAGCGCGCGCGGGATTGCAGCCACGACGCGCCTTTCCTGGCTCGCCGCGTGCGTGCTCGGCACCGCCCTGGTGCAGGAGGACGCTTTCGAGGATCTGCTGGATTACGCCTCGGGCGGGTTCGGCGGCGTGCTGTCAGGCTCCCCGCTGCTGCTGGGAGACGGCGAGCCCGAGCCGGAGTCGCCCTTCGACGAGCCCAGCCTCGACGCCGAGGACGTCGACCCTTGTGAGGACGAGCCCGAGGGGCAGCCTATGCCCTTCCAGCGATGGAACAGGATCTACTACCGCCCGAGGGCGGACTCCAACCAGGGTCTCACGATGCTCCTGGTCAGCAAGTTCAGCTCCACGCTGGGCGAGAAGAGATGGGTCTGCATCGACCCGACGGGCAGGCTCCAGGTCCTCGACCTCGGGCAGCCCGCGAAGGTGAAGTCCACGAAGTTCGCGGGCGTGAACCACAGGCAAGATCACCAGGGACCACAATCCTCGAGGTGGAGGCGCCGCAGGACGCAGGTCCCACCGCCGCCACGCGGTGTCGTGGCTACTGAAGCTGGGCTCCAACCTCGCGGGCTACGCTTGGGCCCGTCGGAGCTTAGGTACGGCGGCGGGTTCGACGTTCGTGCTGTGGCGCGCAGTCGTGTACCTCAACGTGGTGGAGTGGGTGAAATGGGGCTACTCGTCGCTGAAGGAGACCGTGGACACGGTGGAGTATTTCAGGGAGGAGATCGAGACGGTGTTCGAGATGCACGAGTCAGGAGCTCTCGAGCCTCTCTACTTCTCAGTGGGTGTGATGCTCGTGAGTGGCTTCATCATGTCGTGCTGCAGGTCATCTCGCCCCTCGCCTGCGCCATCGCCCACAACTTCCTCCGGTGCCTCAGCTCCCGCGCTTCCTGGTTGGAGCTGGCCCTCGTGGTCGGCCACACCGTCTCCCAGCCAGTCAGGATCATCGACCCCCAGGGACGAGGGCACTCAGGTGTCAGACGCCGAGGAGTCGGACTCGGTGGGAGGCGAAGTTCTGAGGCAGCTGGGTTTGGTGGCCGAGAGGCTCTCCGCTCTCGAGGAGAGGCAGGCGTCGCGCCCGACGGAGCCTCCTCGGCCAACTCCAGCGCCATCAGCACCTCAAGCCCCAGCGAAGCCTGGGATCGGCGCGGACAGCTACGACCATATGATGGGGGCCCTCCTTCAGAGGCTGGACCGCCACAAGGAGATGGTGGAGCAGGACAGCATGGCCGTGACCGCCGGCGGGTCCGAGCAGCGGGTGGTCAGCTCCACGTCCAACCCAGAGATCGACTCGCTGGTCAAGGGCCTGGACGACTCCTTCAAGGACATGCGCGAGGTCGCCAAGGAGAAGCTGCAGGCCTACTCCAGCGACGTGGCGTGGACGATCCAAGGGGGCATCAAGACGCGCGTGGCCCCGTCAATGGTGGCCCGCCTGTACCGCAGTGGGGCTTCAGCGGTGGCGAGCATCAGGGAGATGATTCGCACGAAGCAGCTGGACGGCAACCACATGGCGGAAGAGGCCCTCCTCATCAGCATGATGCTCGACCGATCCATGGTGGAGGCGCCAGCCGACTGGATCAACTACAAGACGACGGAGTTGGCGATGCGACGCCTCCACGGCATCGAGAGGGCCTTCGAGAACGTCAAGCAGAGGTCGGACTGGAAGCCGCCCAACGGCTCCAAGGCGGGCTGGAAGTCTCGAGTCAACTACGCCCTGCTGGAGGAGCTCGACACGACCAAGTCGGATCAGGATGGCCTTCTCATCGACGGCGTGGAAAAGGAGCTTCGCGAACGCTTGGCTCACCGCGCCCTTCTCGCCAAGTCCCTCGACAAGCTGCAGGACAAGAAGCACTCAACAAGCAAGGACGACTGACAGCTGGGAGGTGCTCACGATTCAGGCGCTTCGCGAAGCGCATTCTCCTGGCAGCCATCGTCCTGGAGGCTGCCCACATCTACCACAACTTGCACAGCGTTATTTTCCTAATTTCTCATCACGATGAGAGCGGAGGTCGAATTCTCATCAGAGGGTCGAGTGCGCGACCCCTTGGAGGTGCTGCCGCTCCTGCCAGCGCCGTCCCCCTTGTCGTCTCCCTCGGGGCGGTCGAGGTCTCGCTTCGCCCAGGAGCGAGCGATCAGGGTCAGGACGAACGCCGCTCTGAGGTCCTTAGCCGCGCTGACGACGAACTCATACCACGACCTGCGGGACTCCAGTTTCGGATCCTCCAAGGAGTGGGACACGAGCCACGAGCTGCCGCGCAGGATCTCCGAGAGGGTGCTGCAGTGCCACCGGGACGCGCACGATCAGAAGATGTACGACTCCGACGCCGAGTCCGCTTTCGAGCGGCTGGCCTTGCATGCTAAGCCTGGGACCTACGCGGGCTTCAGTGTATCAGACAAGGACGACGACGACGTGCCGCAACGAGGGAAGGTCATGCCCTTCGTGAGCGGCGAAGCGTCTCTGCCTCCAGCGGGGACGCAGCCATGCGACATAAGGATGATTTCACCAAAAGCGAGATATTACTTCGACCGATTCCACGAGAGGATGTGCCTCCCGCCCAGCCAGGTCGACGAGGCCGACATCGAGAAGACGAGAGCCTACATGGACCCCAGTTTGAGGAGCAGGTCAGCTCGCCTCCAGTTTGCGCTGAGACTATGGGAGTCAGGCATGCTCGGTTTCACGGACATCTGCAGGGCGGAGGTCTCGGTGTTCTTCGTCATGAAGAAAGTCAACGAGGCAGGCCAGTTCATTCTCCGGCCCGTCTGGGACCTGAGGCAGGTGAACAAGCGCTTTCAGAAGCCACCTCACCTCTCTCTGGGGTCTCCGATGGCGATGGCGGAGCTGGACCTGTCCGACGAGATCACAGATGGCAGGGTCTTGCAGTCAACGTGGGGAGACGTGCCAGACTACTTTCACAGATGCAAGAGCTGCAGCGAGCTGTGGCCGTACATGGTGTTCGGAGGCGTGACGATCCCCCAGCTTTTGAAGGAGCTCAAGCGCCAGGGCAAAGTGGTGCCGTCGGTCCCGAAGGGGGCCCGCTACCTGTGCCTGGTGGTGATGCTGATGGGCTTCAGCTGGTCTCCAGCGATCTGTCATGGTGCTCTGGAGGACCTTCTGTGCGATCTACCTGGCTTCCCGCGAGGAGCTCAGCTGGTCCACGGGCGCGTCCCCCCCAGCTTCTCCGAGACGGCCTTCATCTACTGGGTGTTCATGGACGACTTCGCCTCGATGACCTTGCAGCAGGACGAGATGAGCGAGGTGGTGGAGGCAGTCCGCGAACACGCTGGGAAGAAGCTCAAGGAGGTGGGCCTCGACATGCACAAAGACGGAGTCGGGGCAGCGATGCCCCTCTCTCTGGGCGTGACGATCACTCAGCGCCCTCATCGCTTGATGGCAGCTCAGGAGAAGGTCAAGAATGTCATTGGTGCGACCAAGGCCCTTTTGGACCGAGGTCGAGCGACGCCAACCGAGCTATCAAGGATAATTGGGTCGTGGGTGTGGTTGGCGATGTGCTGTCGGGCCGCCTTCTGCATGCTGGATGCTTGCTACAAGTTCGTGACGAAGTACGGCGACGACGATCAGGTTCACATCCTGTGGGAGAGCGTGACAAACGAGCTGTACATGCTTTACCACCTGGCCCCCCTGATGTATACCCACTTGGAGTCGAAGTGGAGCTCCAGTGTCTTTGCTACGGATGCGAGCGAAGAAGGCCTGGGGGTAGTCGAGACGGAAGCGAGCCGGGAAGAAGTCCGAGCCGAAGTCAACCGACAGTGGAGAGCCGACCATCTTCGAGACATGGCCAGGGACGAGGAGGAGGAGGAGCTGCTCAGTGGCGAGAACCTCGAGCGAGCCAGACGAGGCATCCCCCCCGTGGTGTCCGATGGCGAGGTCCCTCCGATGAAGTTCATGGCCGACATTTTCTCAGGGTACGGCGGCTTCGGGCAGGCGATCCGCGAGGAACTGCAGTGCCAGACCCTGTTCGTGGACAACGCACGGGAGGTGCGCCACGACCTGCTGGACTCGTCCTTCGTCGAGCTCGTCTGTCGCGCCGTTCTTCGCCCCCTCTTCTTCATGGTCCACTTGGCCCCTCCATGCTCTACGTTCTCGCGGGCACGTCGACCCCCTTTGCGAGCTCCAGGCCGTTGGATTCTTGGTCTCCCAGGTCTTTCCCCTCAGCAGGTGCAGAGAGTACGGGAAGGCAACGCTCTGGCCCAGGCAGCGATCTCAATTTGCTACGCGTGCCTGGCATCGGGGACAGGTTTTTCGCTGGAGAACCCAAGGACCTCGATGATCTGGGACCTCCCCGACATGGCGAAGTTGCTGACGATGGATGGAGTTCGCGTAGTGGAGATGGTGTACTGTGCCTTCGGAGCCCGATGGAAGAAGCCCACTCGAATAGTGACCAACGTGCAGGCGCTGGAGGAGCTCGAATGCAAGTGCTCTCAGGACCACGATCATCAGGAGCTGCGGGGGCGCGACTCTCAAGGGCGTCTCTGGACGCGCCTGGCAGCAGTCTACCCGCCACGCCTGTGCAGAGCCTATGCCTCTTGTGTGGCCAAGGCCGTGTCCAACAACGAGCTGAAGCTGCACGACTGGCGCATGCGAGAACTCCGGGGCGCAGCGCCGAAGCCAGTCGCAGTCATGAGTCACTGGGCCAAAGTATCCCGATGGCATCTAGCGTGGAAAGGGGTATGGGCGTATCACGATCATATCAATGTGCAGGAAATGAGGACGGTCGCGTCGGTATCTCGTCACCTGTGTCGCTCGTCAAAGAACTGGTTCAGCCGAGTCTTGGTCCTGTGCGACTCTATGGTGACGGTAGGTGCAGTCAGAAAGATGCGGAGCTCTTCGCGACCTTTGATGACGCAGCTGAAGAAGATCGGTGCGATCACGCTGGCCACCGGTATACGATTGACGCTGAGGTGGATACCCACAGACATGAACCCGGCCGACGGCCCTTCGAGAGGCGAGGAGATAGGCAGCGCCGAGATCACCAAGACCAAGTCCGAGCAGAAGAAGAGCGTGATGGACAGCGACTTCGAGTTCGAGAGGCTCTTCGGGGACATGCTGGAGATCAGGGGCATGCACGACGACTACGACCTGGCCTGGCATTTATGACGACGATCATGATTCTAGCCTCGGCTCCAGAGATCACAGCCACGGCAACTGCAGACACGGAGCCGACCGACCAGGACGAGAGCTTCCAGGCTGACGGCGACCACACCTTCGACAGTGAAGATGGGCAGGTCGCTGATGACGTGGGAATGTTCGCCGGAGCTCTAGAAGCAGCAGTGACAGTCAAAAAGACGGCCAAAAAGAAAGGCAAGCAACGAGCTCACGTTCCTCAGAACAAGAAAGGCCCCCTCGCCTTTGAGAACGCCGCTCGGGAGCCCCCAGTGTCGAGAACCAGCCTGGGCTCTGGCACGCTGGAAGTACCTCTCCGCCTTCTCGTGCACGCTGTTCAGGACAACACTAACGTGTGCTACATCAAGGAGGTGGAGCCCTTCCTGGTGAAGGTGCGTCTCAAGAGGCTCCCCTTTTCCACGGCGGCCGAGCGTGACATCACCCTTGCGGCGGAGTTAGACCACATGTGCTTCGTGGAGAGGGCTTCGGTGTCAAGAGGAGTTCGATTGTACCATGGGCTGGTCCACGTGTTTCCAGAGTGGAAGTCTGAGTTGCCGATCTCCTTGCGTGCTTTGCATAGCTGGGAGAAATTCCAGGAGTCCTGGGAAGGTGGCCCAGCCTCTGCCGAAGCAATCTATTTCATAGCTTCCCAGGCGATCAAATCAGGCCACATAGACGAGGGGATCGCATTTCTTGTAGCGTACGATTGTTATCTTCGAGAACAGGATTGGTTGCAGCTGAGGGGTGAAGACGTTCATGTGAGTGGAAAAACGTATTTTAATGATCTGCCAAATGACGACACTCATCATGCAGCTGGTGGGATCAAAGTGGCACTACTTCTCGGACGGAGACACAGAGGTGAGAGTGTCAAGACAGGTCAAGAGCAAGGAGTGGCAATTGACAGCGGTCTTCTCTCACACATCCTAGCGGAGCGTGTCAAGCAGATCAAACCGACCGACAAGGTCTTCAATACCACAGCAGCCAAAGCAACTTCAGTCTGGAGAGGCATCCAATCAAAGTTCGGACTGGAATGGATCGGACCGATGCACACGTTGAGACACAGCGGACCGAGCTACGATATCTTGCACAAGAGACGCTCAATTCAAGAAGTTCAGAGACGCGGACGGTGGACACAGGCCAAGTCGATGGCCAGGTATGCGAAGCCACATTCTCTTATCGTTCATGACGCACGGTTACCTGCGAAGATTAAGGACGCGGGCCGGAGAGCCCTTCATGATCTGAGCTCGACGCTGGAGAGCATCCCCACTCAGAGCCCACGGCGATCTGCAGCATCGCGGGGCTTGACGTACATCGCAGGAGCTGACGCCGGCCAGGCCATGGAGCCCGTGGACCCGGCAGCCTGAGACGCGGCGGCGTGCCAAGCACTGTGGCCTCCCGCCTTGAGCCAAATTGTCTCCTCCCTCTTCTCCTCACTCTTTATATATCAGTGCTGACGCACCCACCCCCCCAGTCCCAGTCTTTAAGTGAGAACCCGAGGTTGCGGGGTGAGGGGTGTTTTTCTTGGGCCTGTGCCTCTCGCGGCTGCTTGGGCCCAGGCTCTCGCCGACAGCGGCGAGCGAAACCTTCCGACCGGTGTGCTGCGCGAGCCGAGGGTAGTGTGAAAAAGGATCCCGTCTGGCCATCTTGGAGCTCGTTCTCAGAATACATGTTTGTTAACGGGCTTTCTTAGAGAGCTCTAGGTGCAGGCCGCGTGTAGCGCTCAGGGCCTAGGGGCCCCGAGCGCTTGAACCTCCCCCCCCCTCGGGCCTGAGAGACTGGAGGGGGTGGGGCAGCATGCGTAGCAGGTGCAGAATAGTTGTCCATAACGTATTGGCTCTAGTTTCCCATCCCAACCCTCCCTTTTTTGAGGGGGTGTTTTTCTTGGGCCTGTGCCTCTCGCGGCTGCTTGGGCCCAGGCTCTCGCCGACAGCGGCGAGCGAAACCTTCCGATCGGTGTGCTGCGCGAGCCGAGGGTAGTGTGAAAAAGGATCCCGTCTGGCCATCTTGGAGCTCGTTCTCAGAACCAAGGTTGTCACGGAGTCCGACGGGCTGGTCCAGCTGTGGGACGCCGCCCTGCACGGCGTCGACGCCGAGCTCTGCGCGCGCTGCGACAAGGTCGGGCCCCAGGCTAAGGCTCATTCGGGCCGTGCGGGGCCTATCCAGGTGTGCCGGCAACTTCTGCGATGGCGGCCACGGCGGCGACGACACTATCGCGACGGGTCAGTTCGACCATGGGTCTTGGCCAGGAGGTGGATGACTCACCTCCAGGCCGTTCGGCAGCGGCTGCAGGAGCAACTCGGCGGCCTGAAGTTGGCGGCGGCCATGTGCGATCTGATGCCCTGCCAGCGTTTCGGCGTCTTGCGGGAGTTGGAGGGGGCCCACCGCTACCTGGTGAAGGTTTCGAGGCAGCGGGCGGTCTTGGCGGCCATCGCCCCGATAGTGGCCAAGTACCTGCAGATGGGCCTCATGCTGCGTCGACCTGGTGACGCGGGTGGCGGGCCAGAAGCTGCGCGACGCCCGGGCCGCCTCGGAGGCGGCGTGGCGCGGCTGGCTAGCAGAGGCTTTCCTCCGAGGGGCGCGGGGGGCCCACCGTGCCTCCAAGGTCGCTCCCACGCAGCCCCTGCTGCAGCTGGAGGGGGATGTGCAGCCCTACGCGGTGGCCGACGCGGCGCTCCAGGAGTGGGGGGACGTCTGGTCCCACCACGGCGCGGCCTGGCTGCCCAGGCCGGCCGATTTCGACCGGTGGGAGCTGCTGCCGCCGATCACCTTCCAGGACATGCGCGCGGCTACCTGGAGCTACTCGGACACCACCGCCCGCGGCCCCACCCGCCTGGCGCCCAAGTCCCTCTACTTCCGGACGAGGGTCTGCAGGCGATCGCGCGGCTCCTGGAGGCTTGCGAGAGGTTGGGCACGTGGCCCGACGGTCGCGCGGAGACGGAGCTCGTGCAGTTGAGCAAGGCGGGCGGGGGCAAGCGCCTCATAGCCTTACTCCAAACCCTGACGCGCGTGCGGGGGAAGCTGCGCCGCCCTCTGGGGAAGCGGTGGGAGGAGACCCACGCGGCCCTTTGGGTTTGGGGCAATCGCTCCCGCTTCACCTCCAGGGACTCTGCGTTCGACCTGAACCTGGAGCAGGAGGTGGCCACCCTGTTGGACGAGCAGAGCGGCACGTGGGTCAGCGACATGGCCAAGTGCTTCGAGCTCGTGGACAGCAGCCAGCTTCTCTTGGAGGCTAGGGAGTGCCACTTCCCCCTGCGGCTGGTGTGGATGATGATCGAGCTTTACCGCCAGCCTCGCAGGGTTCGGGTAGGGCCCAGCCTGTCGTTGGCCATGCTGGTCTTCCACGGCGTGTCGGCGGGGTGCACTCACGCTCCCACGGCGCTGCTGGTGCTGACTCACCGCGCGATGGCGAGGCTCAGCAAGATGTGCCCCAACGTGCGGCCCCGGCAGCTTATGGACGACATTACTCTGCATTATGTGGGGCCTCGTGAGGCGGAGGCTAGTCAGCTCGAGGTGGCCGCCGTCGAGCTGACGCGCTGCGTGCAGGGCCTCGGCGCGCGGGTCAAGCAAGCCAAGTCGGGCTTGATCTTCAACCGCGCGCGCTTCGCGCACCGCTTCCGGGCGCGGGTTCTGCAGATTGGCTTGCGCCCGAGGCGGGCGATGCGAAACCTCGGCCACGAACACCACGGGCCGAGGGTGTTCCGGCGTCAGGAGGCGGCTCGCGTGGCAGCTCTCTCTTTGCGAGGGGCCGCCGACTCGCCATGTTGTCCCGCGGAGCGGGGCGCAAGGCGGCGCAGCTGTGGCGCACTGGCCTGGCCCCGTCGGTCACCCACGGCGCGGGCGTCAGCGGCATGGCGGACCATCGGCTTTGTCTTCTTCGACATACTGCGGCCACTCTGAACGGGTGGAAGCCTGGCTCTGGATGCACGGCCTACTTGCTGACGCATCCGAGCCCGCAGTACGACCCGATATACGACGTCTCGGTGCCGTTGATTTTGCTGTACGCTGGCTGGTTGTGGGACGGCCGCACCTCCGGCGCGAGGCTGCAGAGGGCCTGGGACGTGGCCCACGCCAAACTCGAGTCCACCACCTTCGGCACGGCGCGCGAGTCCCTCACATCCACCTGGCTGTCGCTGCGGAGGCTGGGCTGGGAGATGCTCTCTTCGGCCCACGTGAGGTCCGACGCGGGCGAGGTGTACTCGCTCTTGCGCGTGCCGCCAGAGGACCTACGTCACCATTTGATGAGGTCCATCGAGCAGTGGCAGGCGCAGAGGCTGCTTGGGCACATGCACCTGGCCTCGGGCACCGAGCAGGTGTGGGTCCGAGGCATTCGCCTAGGCTTGCGGGCGCTGCCGCCGCGGCAGCTGGGCGCGCTACCTGACTCCTGAGAGGCGGGCAGCAGCGGGCGGCTACAGCAAGCGGCATTGCCGGGCGTGCGGGGCCGAGTACGGAAACTACGGGCACATCTGGCTGGGCTGCCCGAAGCTGCTGGAGGCGCCGCCTGGGAGTTCTCTCCCCCCGCTGCCCGAGGCCCTCGGGGCCACGAGAGCCATGCTGGCAGAGCTCGGCTCGACGTGCCACTTTGACGACCTGGAGTGCGGGTACGGTCTCCCGTGCGTGCCGCACGGCTGCGGAGAACGAGCTGCCGACCTTCTTCTGGGGCGATGCCGAGGCTGCTGCGTGGGGCCCTGAGTCGTGTACTGATGGCTCGGGCTTCGAGTCGGCGCAGCCTGAATTAACGCGCTGCGGGTGGTCTGCAGTCCAGATCGATGAGGACTTGTTGCCAGCTCGCGCGATGTACGGTCCTCTCCCAGGCATCCAGACTGTCGGCAGAGCAGAGAGGTGGTCAGTGCTGCGTCTCGTCCAACATGCGCCGGCCACCCAGCACATAGTGAGTGATCTGTTCAGCTTGGTGTCTGAGGGCTCGTCCTGGGACCCCGCCCTCGAGAGCTCCAGAGGCAGGCATGCCCGGATTTGGAGGCTCATTTTCGGGGCGGTAGGTTCCAGAGAGCCCCCTAGATCTAGCTGGGTCCCAGCCCACAAGAGCCCCGAGGAGGCCCTCTCCCTTGGGATCTCTCTCAGGTGGCGGGTGGGGAATATGTGGGCCGACTGGTTCGCCAAGCTCGGGGCGTCAGCGCAAGCCGTGTCGTCTGTCCACGCGGAGTACCTCTCGTCGGAGCTCCAGCCCATTCCCCGGCGTCCCCGTGCAGTCGGGCCGCGCGTTCTCAAGCTAGTGTCGCACGACCTTGTTCGCGTCGAGCCGACGATGGAGGTTCGGTGCCGCAGATGTTTGTGTGTTGCCCGCATTGACGGGTACCTCGCCCATCTTTTGAATGGCGAATGTAAGCCGCTGCCCACCCAGGCGTGGGCTGCGCGGTGTTTTTTCTCGAAGCCCACTCTGGTGGTCCACGATTTCAGGGTTCCTGTTGCGGGTCCGTGCGTGTCTGAGGCCCTGGCGGCGGCTGAGGAGGTCCTCGGGTCCGTGCCTGCGCCGCCAGGAGAGCCACCAGACGGGCTCGAGGCTTTCAGGGAGCTCAAACACGTTTTAGTCACCCACGGGGCCATGGTCTGCTGCACCCAGTGTGGGGCCTCGACGTCGGGGGAGGAGGGGTGGAGCGGACGCTCGAATCTGAATTCGAAGTGTGTGGGGCCGTCTCTCAATCCCGCCACCAGGGCCAACCAGAAGAGGAAGGCCAACCTGGTGGAGCGGGGCTTTCACCCCAAGACGGGGGCCACGCTGCCCCCCCCGCGCCTGAACTTTTTCGGTTTTACTTTTTGAGGCTTCGCCTCCCCATCCCGCCTTAAGTGGCTAGGGGCTTCATGTTTCCAGGGTTTTTCGGTTTCTCGGAGAACTCCTGCAGGCTGCTCGCCCTCCTCCTCCTCCTCCTCCCCCTGCTCCTCCTCCTCCTCCCCCTCCTCCTCCTCCTCCTCCTCCTCCTCCTCCTCATCGCGCGAGGCCTGGGCCTCGTTGCTCCGACCCGGCAGGACGAGTACGGGGAGCCCGACGCCGGCGCCGAGTGGAAGGGGTCGCGCGCCGAGCGGTCGGCTCCTCGCCTCGGGCTACACGTGAGAGTGGCCCTTCGCCGGAGTGGCCCATTGCCGGGGGCCCCAAACCAGGGGGGTGACCGGGTGGGACGGGGGAAGGAGGAGGAGGAGGAGGAGGAGGAGGAGGAGGAGGAGGAGGAGGAGGAGGAGGAGGAGGAGGAGGAGGGAGAGGAGGAGGAGGAGAGGAGGAGGAGGAGGAGGAGGAGGAGGAGGAGGAGACATTCTTCGGGAGTCGGTGGGCATTCGGGGTCACCGCACGGTTTTGGGACTGGGTTCGTTCTTCTAGGTCGTCTCGGGCGACTGAGGCATCCGAGGTCCCAAAACCGTGCGTTGACGGACCGTGCGGTGAGGTCTTGGGGGATTTCGTGGTCACCGCACGGTCTGTCACCGCACCATGCGATAGTGGCGTTTTGTGCGCTTGAGTTTCCCCCCTCCGCGGCTCCCCGAAAGCCGCGCACCAAAGGTCACCCTTACCCAGGGTCGCTCTTGCGTGTAGCCGATCGCCGCTGCTTGGCTTTTGCCCCAGCCGTTTCGAAGTAGCACTGGGCCCTTTCGGCGGCGAGCGGGGGGCGGGGCCTGACCCAGACCCCCTAGCGAGCAGTGCGAAAATCACGGCGGTGGTTCGCCGTTCTCGACCTCCGGGACCCTCGCTGGGCCCCTGGGAGCGTCAAAACACGACTCGGAGGGTCGACGTCCTGAACAAAATTATGATGTCGGGGGTTTGGGGAGATATTGGCGTTGCAATGTGTTTCATGCCGAGCGTTCTCTTCCTTGTTCGAGCCCTGGGGGGCCTTCCAGATCGATCGGGCTCGAGACATGACGCAGACAGATGGGGTCCGGGCTTGCGGGCGTGATTTGTTGCGATGTTGCATTTGTTTGGCAACGTCGGATCTCAGGGGAAGTGAGAAGGAGGAGGCCTTCTTAGAAGGCGGGGTTTCTCAGAAACTCTCTGGCCCTCTGAGGAGTTTGTTTCGAAGAAGAAAAACGCCATACACGTAAACTGTTGGCGCTCCGCTCGGATTTCTTGGATCCGCGCTGGGGCCCCCTGGCGGCGCCTCCAGCGCCGCCTTGGGCGCGCTCCGCGCTAGGGAGGGGGGTCCAGCGCAGATCCAAGAAATCCGCGCGGAGCGCCAACAGTTTATGTTTATGTCGTTCTCTCTTCCTCTGTTCTCAAGGACTCTCCAGCCTTCTGAGGAGTTTGTCGTGTCTTCGGGGCATGCTCAGAGAACTTCTCCCAGCAGGCCCGAGGCCTTCCGAGTCTGAGGGGGCCTGCCAAGCCGTTGGGGTCCGTCCCACACGCCTGATGTGGTGGAAGCTTAGGTTGCCTCGATACGCCCGTTCTGAAACGCAACACGTCACGTATTCAAGACGTCCGTGTCAATACGTTGCGTGTTGGCTCCACGTATTGGACCACGTTTTGGCGAATGTATCGCGTCGGGGGCTACGTTTTCAGTCTACGTGTGGAGGAGGAGGAGGAGGAGGAGGAGGAGGAGGAGGAGGAGGAGGAGGGGCAGCTAAGGGTGGAAGATCTTTTGGAGGCCCTTGATGGAGAGCTCATCGGTGTGCTCCTCAGCCTCCGCCCCCGGCCCTCTGTGATCCCCCGCACGCCGACGACGAGGCACGGCCACTCGAGCCCGACGGCGATCTTGGGGCGACTCGGGCTCCTCCCCAGCCTCGTTCTCTCGGCGACCTGCGCAGACGACGAAGCGATCCGTCAGACCTCCTGCCAGGGTCCACTGCGAGCTGCAGGGTCCCCGAGGGCACGCTGTGAAGCGGGGCCGCCCTACTCCTGGGAGCCTCGGCGAGGATGGTGCCTACTGTCTCGAGGTCGTCCCTCCCCTCCTCGACATGGGCGACATTGTCGTAGCCGACCAAATGCAGGTGGCCGAGGGAGATCCGAAAGACAGCCCCGCTGAAACTCGTGAAAGACGACAGGGGCCGCTTGGAAGCCTCCACTGGGGCCGTCCATTGCGAAATGCTCACCCACCTCCGACATGCGTGGTACGACCTCTTCGGGCACCTTGTATCTCCGTGTGCTGCTTGTCCCCGACATTGGGCCACCCAACATGCGAGCCAGCCTCCTCACCTCTGCGTGGCGGTGATGCTTCTAGACCGGCCCGGTCTCTCCGACCGGCTGGGTCGCCACCTCCTCGAGCCTCTGCCTCCTGAGCTGCCCCGGGCGCTGGGTCGCGCTGGCCAGCGCCCTCACGGTCTGCGGGCGGTCGTCGTCGCCGATGCTTCTCCGAGGCCGCCTCGGCGCCAGCAGCCGAGGCCGCTCTGCCGCGCACGCCTCGGCGGGGCCATCGGCGGTGGCCTGCCAGCCGAAGTGCCTCTCCGCCGTCTCGTAGACCCTGGTGATCCACACCTGACACCTGCCACACCTCCTCCTCCTCCTGCTCCTGCTCCTCCTCCTCCTCCTCCTCCTCCTCCTCCTCCTCCTCCTCCTCCTCCTCCCTCTCCTCCTCCTCCTCCTCCTCCTCCTCCTCCTCCTCCTCCTCCTCGATCCTCCTCCTCCCCATCCTCCTCCTCCTCCTCCTCCTCCTCCGCCGGCAGAGGCCCGAGCCTCTGCCGGCCTCGCGTGGGAGTCGATGCCCTCGAGCTGCAGCGCCCTCGTGAGGTCGCATGGGCCATCAGTCCTTTCTTCGGCGCCGATGCTGACGCGTTGATCTCCCACTTCTCCCCCTTGGGACGCGACCAGGACATGTCCGGCATATACCTCGAGCGGGCCAAGAGTGGCACACGGTCCTGGACCGCCTGCTTCTTGGCACACGGTCCTGGACCGCCTGCTTCTTCACCGGCCTGAGGCGAAGATGGGACATCTGCAGCCCAGCACAATTCTCCACATCGACACACTGCCATCTGCATACTGCAATATAGTCGATCACGCTGGAGCTCTTGCGGCCATAGTACGTGTCGCCAGCGTTGATGTCCATCGAGATAGCCCTCAGCTCATACATTTCTAGAATGTCCGAGACACGATCAGCTGCATACCTCTGTTCCCAACGGCAGTACATCCCCAGTGAAACCGACTGAATAGGCGCCAACTTCTGACCAGAAATCTTTACCATGCCGAAGGAATCGTTGAGAACAAAGCCGAAACACGTCGCTGATCTGGTGCACGCCCAAGCGAGACACTTCTCCAAACAATCGCACATGCAGTCGACAGCAGCACGATAGCGTCGAACGGGGGCGTCAGC